TATGCTGCAATACCAGTCGGAGCAGCCACAGCAGTATTTTTATTTCTCTTTACTTTGTTCTATAAAACCAAATTGTCAATCACGTAACTTTTACCCGTACCTCCAAATCCGCTTACAAACATTCTTAATACTTTATTGCTAGATATTGTACAAGTAATTGTATTGAATATTCGTAATTGATCAATATTGAATTTGTAATAGATTGTTCTATGTCAATTTCGTTTTTGTTTTCCGTAACTTTTTCAATTAAATCTTGAACATCTTTAATAACTTGGATTGCATCAAGAGGATCAGCATTATTTAGATGTTCTGATTGTTGGGTAAGGTCTTAGCCAATTCTTGTTGCTCGATTAATTTACTGGCCTCATCCATAGCATCTTGAATCATTTGCAATTTATCATGATATTGAAGTGCTGCAGATAAATCATCTTTTATTTTAATAAAAGCATTATAACATGTATCTTGATTCGCTTTTAGTTCTTCAGTTTTTCTCCACGATTTAAATAATATAAGTATGGAAAAATAATACGCTTCAGGTTGCGTTTGAGGATTGTACTTCATATGAAGAATTAAATGAGCTCGTTTCCTTCTTTTGCAATATAAGTTTTCACCCATCTTGTAATATTCGGCTTTATGAATTGGCTTTTTTTCCATATATCGAAAAACCTCGCAAAATCGTATAAACACATAGTTTCTAATTCTTTAGGGCGCTTTGGATAATATGTATCCACTAAATTATCACAAAAGATTTCAGTTGAATCTGCAGGTAATTGCTTCATTTCATTGTATGATTTTAATTTTCTCTTTTTCTGAAAACCAACATCGACCTATAGAAAAGTAGTATTTGGATTAGTTTCATGAAGTGGGTGAGCCAATAAAGTATCGACAGCTTCAATAGCTCCACATTCTCTGTGAGTAAGTCTGCGCATACCAATGGTCCAAAGTCTACTACACAGAGACTTATTTAATGCTATTTCAGAAAGATCAAGATTACTTTTTTCACCTTTTGTTCCATAACATGTAACGTAATGCGTCAGAAGATATGTAGATTCACCAATAAATTGAGCATCGGTGTTTCCTTCCTATAAAACTATTATGGCAGGAATGTAATCATTTGTATAACGTTCATTAAAATATCGAGGTAAATCATAAAACCTACTATTATTTTTCAACTTCCTGCGATTTGTTATAGCCGTAATAACAGTATGTAAAATAAAATCTTTTGTTACGTTTCGAGGAAATTCGAAACGACAAGCGCTTATAAAACCACTACATGTTTTTCTTTTACGCATACAATAGTCATTATGTTTATGTTGTTGATATTCCATAACTTTACGATGTATATCAGGAGATGTATATTTATTCGGTATGCGACACGTAATATATTGCAATATAAATTTTTTTACATCTTCATTCGAAGATATACCATATACTGGAGCATTTTTTATCTAGAAAATACAATGAAAATGAGGCAATCCTCGATTTTGATATTCATGAACATAATAATAGTAATCAATTGTTCCTATAGGTTTTGCATCAGAATGAAAATAAGCCATCATAGCTTTAAATTTTTTTTCAATGAAAATTGCAGCTGGAACAGGATAGTCAACGATAAGTTGACTATTAGATCTACTATCGTTATCTAATGATTGATAATCTCATATAAATTCACCTAAATCTGGCCAGTTCCATTCTGCCGGACTCAACGTTACGAAAAATGTAACAGGGCCATATTCTTGCGCCATACAGTTCAGTTCTCGTCTTGGTCTTCGCCAATATGCTTCAGTTACTCTTATACGAGAAAATATTGAATAAAGATTTGATTCCAAACCATTGTCATTTAATTGTTGTATATAATTTCCAGCAGTATATTTGTGACGTGTATCTAACACATGTAGCATGTGATAAATTCCTGCATTAAGGCTTCTGATATAGTTATCATGTAAGTAATAAAAAAGTAATTATTTACTTTCTCTAAACTATGAATATTTAGAAGTTAATATATGTTTAATAAAATCAGATTCTTTTAATTTGATTTCTCTGGGAAATTACACGCTGGCCACATTCACCATAAGGAAAAATATCTGGAAAACATTTCCAATCCAAATCTTTCTCGTGATAAACCAGAGGAGTTTCATAAACTTTTTTCATTTGATACAATTTAGTATCCGATTCATTAGGTTTTTGTACATGCAAAGCATTTATCGTGTATTCATCATAAAATGTGTCCGATTGCGATTTCGCTGTTAACAAAGCTTCTCTGTAAGGTAATTTAGAATCCTCAATTTCAGTATTAACTTCATTGACTTGATTAGAATTGTTATCATCAGAATTTTCTATATACTCTAAATCTGTATCTTTGAGCGTGTTCAATATATCGCATGGTTAAATAGGAACAGTGATTTTGGAATAAATTGGATTATTTTTTTTTAGCCATTTTAGAGCATTCCATACCATTTCTACATCAAAGTATTCTTCCCAAATAATTTTACCTTTAGTGTGATGTTCGTATCACTTATAAATAAAATAATTCGAACTCTCGTAATCTAGCTAATGAGTAAGAATTTGTTTCCAATGATTTTACTCTAATAGTCAAGAAAATAGATAAATCAAATATAATAAATAAGTAAATCAAATATACATAAGTAAGTGCAATATTTCGAGGAAAGTCAGACAATGCCCTAGTTTCTTATGGTGCGAATTGTCCCATAAGCAGAGCTAAAGTGTTTCTTTGATAGGATATAATTCGGCCCAAGTTTCTTATAGCGCGAGATGTTCCCCACAGAGCATGAATTAATTCACTGAATTAATTCTTGAATTAACGCAAAGAATTAATATAAAAATAATTTTCTAAGAAAAGAAAATTATTTCTTAATTAATACATGAAATATTACAAAGAAATATTCTAAAATTCTATTAAAAATAATTCAGGTAATGATTCCTGTAAAAATAAACAAATTAATACATGAATTAATTTAGAAAGGATTTTGAAAGGAACCATGAATTAATTTACAACATAAAACTAAAATTATATCTTGAAATAATTTAAAACTATTTCAAAATTATTTCATGATATGATTTTTGTAAAAATACATAAATTAAATCATTCATTAATGTTGAATTAATCCAAGAAATATTATAGGTTTTAATCTCGAAACTAACGCAACAAATGATTCTGAATTCATTTAAAATTAATTCTTAAATTATATGAAAATGCAAAATTTCGATTCACCCGAATTATTTCAGAAAATAATTCAAAATTATTTCTGGATTAATTCGTGATATGATTTTTGTACAAATATACACATTAATTCACGGATTAATGTTGAATTAGTCCAAGAAAAATTATAGGTTTAAAGTTACAAATTAACGCAAGATATAATTATAAATTAATTATTTTGTTACGAGTGCATCTTTCGAATAGTTCTTATTTGAATATGTATCCGCTGCAACATTAATTTGTATATGTTGTTTGTTTATGTTTGTGATAGAAAACACAGAATAGTTAGTTAACACTTGGTTATCTGTTTGTAAACACTTTTTAAAATTAATAAAGTATAGTCGAAGTCTTTAAGTTTAAACGTAACAATACATTAATTCTTGCATTATATTAAAATGGAAAATTTTGATTTACTTGAATTATTTCAGAAATTAATATAAAATTATTTCTGAATTAATTCGTGATATGATTTTAGTAAAAATACACTAATTAATTTACGAATTAACGTACCGATAATCAAAGAAATATTATAGGTTTTAATTTCGAAATTAACGGAAGGAATGATTCTGAATTAATTCTGAATTAATTTTTGAATTAAATGAAAATGCAAAATTTCGATTCACCCGAATTATTTCAGAAAATAATTCAAAATTATTTCTGAATTAATTCTTGATATGATTTTTGTAAAAATGCACTAATTAATTTACAAATTAACGTACCAATAATCCAAGAAATATTATAGGTTTTAATCTCGTAAAAAAGCTTTTGTACGCATTACTGAGCATATGAAACGTTCATGAAAGCACCTACCTTATCGGCATTTACAGAATTTGAAATATTGCAGAATCAAAGTTAGATTAAAAATAAAAACGCTTTTTTAGGGTGTAGATATATGTCCAAGAATTACTCAGTTCAAATTTCACACAATTCTATCGAGTGGTTCTTTCAAAATTTGGTCAAGCAGCACCAAATCTTAATTTCTTCGAGGTGTTATCAGGGGCGTTTCATATCTCCTTAAGGGAATTTTAATTCAGGATTATTTAAACCCCTAGCATTGCGTTAAGCACTTCCATTTTTTATTATTATTCGTTAAAATTGAAAGAAATTCAATGTGAAAATTCGATAAGAAATCTGCTTTATGTAATATTTATAATGTATATCTAATATATATCCATATACTAGATAATATTAAAGTAAACATTAAATAAAATACTGTACGTTTATCAATTATTTTATTTCGTATTCTTCCATAATTATATAAAATAAAGCACTTTTAATAATTTTTAAAATTTTACTTATATATTCAGTAAATAATTTATTTATAGTATATCTAGATGTGTTATATAATTTTAAATATTTTCTATAATAATTCTAAAAGTAATTAGATAGTATTTTATAAAATAATTCTTGTGAAATGGATATAATCTTTTAAAATTATTTCAGTGAATCAATTCTGTATTAATTTTACGCCAGCTTTTTATTACTTAAGTATCACTTTGAAAATTAATTTTGAAACAATTCAAAACATTCTTACTGTGATGATTTCAAAATTATTATGATAATATTTCATAAAATAATTCTTCTAAAATGCATTGTAACGAGCCGGCTCGTTAAGGGAGTGTCTACACGGGATCCGTCCTCGGATCCGTGGACGGATCCGTCCCCGTCCAAATTTTTATAGGCACACGCTATCTTCATAACTTCAAGTTCAGTGGTGAGTTTCAAATTTGATGTGAGAAACGCATCTATACAGTTCTTATATCCGTGATTTACAGCTCCAATTTTATTCAACGTGTAACGTATAAGTTGGTGAGTTCGTCCTCTTTTTCATTATACTGTAATACCGTAAACCGTAATTATAATTAATTATTTATACTTTTTGCCTTATCAAATTGCAAAATACATAATAGGTAGACCAATAGAATTTATATGAACAAATACTATTTGATTTCGGGGAAGGTATATTGCAAGGTGTAGTCAAGTTTGCTGATTTTACAATTGAAAATAATTTTAGAAATACAGGCTAGAATGCAAAAGGCTGTAGATAATACAAAGCCTTCCTTAAGAATACAAAGATTTTATAGGGAAAAACAAGTGTGCGTTGAAAAAAATCATTTATAAAGACGAAAGATTTACAAATTATAACGTATGTTTATTTACAAAATTAGATTTGCATCTTCTATTAAATTTATTTTTGATGAAATTCTTGTAGATGATACATCAGGAAAATTACTTCCGAATAAATTGACTATACATAATTTGACTGATGATTGGCTAAAAGCTATTCAGGTGATTTGGAAAACTACCCACTTAAATGCAGAAAACAATTGTGATATAAAGTAATATTATTTTTATAACTATAAATTTATGATTTTTTATCAGATTGCAATAGCAAAGAATTTTTTTTTCTTTATCTGCAGTAAATCAATGTCGGATTGTTTTCAAGAAAGAGAAGAACTTTGATTGCGTTATCAAGTAGCTGTAATTAGAAATGCTATAAACGAACTTGGATGTAAAAAATTACCTTCTGGATATGACCTTTCAATGGAGGATTCATTTACTGAGCCAACAAAAACAAAGTAAATCAAATTAAAAATAAATTTTTTTCATTCACTATTAGTAATGCTACTGAACTATTATCCATAATAATTAATGTTAAGGAAAACTAAATGAATAATTAATCTCAATGTGCATTTAATAATGATATAAATCAGGATTAGGTTGCTGCAATTAATAATTACAATATTTATATCTTATATCTGATAATTTTTATTGTATTACAGATCAAAATTTACAAGAGGACAACATTTCTAACATTTCTAATAGTTTCTTTGGCTTCAACCCATAAACTTCTGTCTGATAAACAAGCATAATGCCATTGCTGAATCAAATCGTCTAAAGTAATAAGAATAGACATCTGTGAAAATAACAAATTTCGTAACGATGCCCTTAGTGACCTCAGAGGAGCGTTGATTATGTTTAACTGAGCTGGCCACATACTGCCATATAAATCACATCGCGATAAACTCCATCGATTTGTAAATGTATTGTTGGTTATTGGGTTGTCGTCTTCTATTGTTCCAAGAAATCTGCACTTGTAACCTCCAATCACTGTCTTTTGTTGAATGATTTTCTGCAACACTTCTTTATGGCTAATCTCATTATCCAATGTAATTATACCTTCGCTTTCATTGGAAAACCAAAAAATGAATCTCGAATAATTATTATTGCCCATATGAATTTCAATATTTCTAAACGCCACTGGTACAAAACGACGAAAATCGTTTTGTATAATATATTCAATCGTGAATTTCATCTTCTCGTTCAATCTTTCTTCATGGAATGGTTTGAATTCCATTATATTTTTTATTACTACCGTATTATTCATTATTATAATAACTTTGATCACCAGTTGAAAATTTATTCTTACAGCGACTGTAACTGTAGAATTGTAGGAAATGTAGACGCAAAGAATATTAACGACATGCTTGAACAAAGAAAAACAGAAATGTATATGTACCAATCTTGGCCACATATGGGGCGAAAACTGACACGTATATAACGTAAGCGGTAAAATAGTGGATACGTGTTATATTTTCTAATTTTTATTGATCAGTTTTTATTTTAAAAAGTGAATAACAATTTTTTTATTGTAAAACTTATTTCAATTTCGAAATAAAAGAAATTATTTCTCTAGTACATTTGTATTTTGATGATTCAGGAATATTATTAAATCCTATTTTGATTAAATTCATGAATCTTCTAATTTCTTGATTCTCATTACTCGTGTTCTTATCAAGATTTGCAAGATCATTTTCCAATTTTTTTATGGACTTCGTAGCTGTATCAATGGCATCGTCTAATGTTTCAATGTCATCATCTGATTTTCTTTTCCGACTAAATTTCCTCTTGTCGAATTTGTTTTCACCACTACTTGATGATAATTTCATCAAGGAGTCCATGTTATCAGAACAAATTTGAGGCATATGGCTTAAATACGGTTGTAACCAAAGCATTTCCTTGTACAATTCCCACGTAACTTCCACTTTCATATAAACAGGCAGCAAAACTGAAGCAATAATGTAACATGTTTCACGAATTTATTTCATTATTGCTTCAGTTTTGCTGCCTGTTTATATGAAAGTGGAAGTTACGTGGGAATTGTACAAGGAAATGCTTTGGTTACAACCGTATTTAAGCCATATGCCTCAAATTTGTTCTGATAACATGGACTCCTTGATGAAATTATCATCAAGTAGTGGTGAAAACAAATTCGACAAGAGGAAATTTAGTCGGAAAAGAAAATCAGATGATGACATTGAAACATTAGACGATGCCATTGATACAGCTACGAAGTCCATAAAAAAATTGGAAAATGATCTTGCAAATCTTGATAAGAACACGAGTAATGAGAATCAAGAAATTAGAAGATTCATGAATTTAATCAAAATAGGATTTAATAATATTCCTGAATCATCAAAATACAAATGTACTAGAGAAATAATTTCTTTTATTTCGAAATTGAAATAAGTTTTACAATAAAAAAATTGTTATTCACTTTTTAAAATAAAAACTGATCAATAAAAATTAGAAAATATAACACGTATCCACTATTTTACCGCTTACGTTATATACGTGTCAGTTTTCGCCCCATATGTGGCCAAGATTGGTACATATACATTTCTGTTTTTCTTTGTTCAAGCATGTCGTTAATATTCTTTGCGTCTACATTTCCTACAATTCTACAGTTACAGTCGCTGTAAGAATAAATTTTCAACTGGTGATCAAAGTTATTATAATAATGAATAATACGGTAGTAATAAAAAATATAATGGAATTCAAACCATTCCATGAAGAAAGATTGAACGAGAAGATGAAATTCACGATTGAATATATTATACAAAACGATTTTCGTCGTTTTGTACCAGTGGCGTTTAGAAATATTGAAATTCATATGGGCAATAATAATTATTCGAGATTCATTTTTTGGTTTTCCAATGAAAGCGAAGGTATAATTACATTGGATAATGAGATTAGCCATAAAGAAGTGTTGCAGAAAATCATTCAACAAAAGACAGTGATTGGAGGTTACAAGTGCAGATTTCTTGGAACAATAGAAGACGACAACCCAATAACCAACAATACATTTACAAATCGATGGAGTTTATCGCGATGTGATTTATATGGCAGTATGTGGCCAGCTCAGTTAAACATAATCAACGCTCCTCTGAGGTCACTAAGGGCATCGTTACGAAATTTGTTATTTTCACAGATGTCTATTCTTATTACTTTAGACGATTTGATTCAGCAATGGCATTATGCTTGTTTATCAGACAGAAGTTTATGGGTTGAAGCCAAAGAAACTATTAGAAATGTTAGAAATGTTGTCCTCTTGTAAATTTTGATCTGTAATACAATAAAAATTATCAGATATAAGATATAAATATTGTAATTATTAATTGCAGCAACCTAATCCTGATTTATATCATTATTAAATGCACATTGAGATTAATTATTCATTTAGTTTTCCTTAACATTAATTATTATGGATAATAGTTCAGTAGCATTACTAATAGTGAATGAAAAAAATTTATTTTTAATTTGATTTACTTTGTTTTTGTTGGCTCAGTAAATGAATCCTCCATTGAAAGGTCATATCCAGAAGGTAATTTTTTACATCCAAGTTCGTTTATAGCATTTCTAATTACAGCTACTTGATAACGCAATCAAAGTTCTTCTCTTTCTTGAAAACAATCCGACATTGATTTACTGCAGATAAAGAAAAAAAAATTCTTTGCTATTGCAATCTGATAAAAAATCATAAATTTATAGTTATAAAAATAATATTACTTTATATCACAATTGTTTTCTGCATTTAAGTGGGTAGTTTTCCAAATCACCTGAATAGCTTTTAGCCAATCATCAGTCAAATTATGTATAGTCAATTTATTCGGAAGTAATTTTCCTGATGTATCATCTACAAGAATTTCATCAAAAATAAATTTAATAGAAGATGCAAATCTAATTTTGTAAATAAACATACGTTATAATTTGTAAATCTTTCGTCTTTATAAATGATTTTTTTCAACGCACACTTGTTTTTCCCTATAAAATCTTTGTATTCTTAAGGAAGGCTTTGTATTATCTACAGCCTTTTGCATTCTAGCCTGTATTTCTAAAATTATTTTCAATTGTAAAATCAGCAAACTTGACTACACCTTGCAATATACCTTCCCCGAAATCAAATAGTATTTGTTCATATAAATTCTATTGGTCTACCTATTATGTATTTTGCAATTTGATAAGGCAAAAAGTATAAATAATTAATTATAATTACGGTTTACGGTATTACAGTATAATGAAAAAGAGGACGAACTCACCAACTTATACGTTACACGTTGAATAAAATTGGAGCTGTAAATCACGGATATAAGAACTGTATAGATGCGTTTCTCACATCAAATTTGAAACTCACCACTGAACTTGAAGTTATGAAGATGGCGTGTGCCTATAAAAATTTGGACGGGGACGGATCCGTCCACGGATCCGAGGACGGATCCCGTGTAGACACTTCTTAAGGGAAAAATCAACTTAATAGAGGGCCAGCGCGTGTCGTGCGCGGGCCAGCTGCGCAGAAAACCGTGCGCGAGCGGAGAGAACAGAGAGAGGACCGTGAGGGGTGGGGGTAGGCGCGAGCGACATTCACGTGTGAACCGGCTTATCGAGAGGATCAGTAAAAAGAAAGGAAACTGGGAATTAGAAGAAAAGAGAGCTAAGGAGTGCAAAAGTACGAGGATTGGAAACTGGATCCAATAGGTGCATCAAGTTAAGTGCGCCAAGAGTGAGTACCGTCGCCCAAGTCACGAAAGCTTCAACGAGTGCTGAAGGAATTCGAGGAGAGAGAAGAAAGCACCTCCTGGGCGACGAAAGCCAGCGCACGGGGCCGGCAACCGAAGAGTTGATAGAGGTTTTGCGCGGGACTACAACGAGAAGGAGTGAGTAATCTCACCGGCGTACAATTATCTACGAGAAGATTATGTTTTATTAAGCGTGCGAGGATCGGTCCGTTTATACCTCTCTCTCTCTCTCTCTCTCTCTCTCGCGGTAAAACCTAGCGTGTCGTCGTTGCGCGACGCAGCGACGCATCACTGAGTAAAGCTCTCGGCCTCTTTCTCTACGGGATGTAAGCAAACCGCTAGACGAATAAAAGGTGTCTGCAATTAATCGGCCGCCTTGTTTACTGACGTGGGCAGAAGCACACGTATCTCCTCTGCCCAGCTATCCGAACCCACCGACTCCCCCACGCAAGCAGTACGTCGAGCACGCATCCGACGAAGCCGTCGGCACCACAGCCGGGAGGTAAGTCTTCCTCCAACGAAGCGGCGGTTAGCTTCGCAACGTGGGAGTGACGGTGACTTATTTTGTTAACGAGCACCGATTTATTATTTAGGTAAATCATAACCGTTACAGCATGTAATATTTGGAAATTATTTCAGTGAATCAATTCTGTATTAATTTTATGTCCGCTTTTTATTTCTTCAATATCATTTTGAAAATTAATTTTTAAACAATTCAAAATATTCTAACTGTAATAATTTCAAAACTATTACGTTAATATTTTATAAAATAATTCTTCTAAAATGCATGTAATATTTGAAAATTTTTTTAGTCAATTAATGTAGTAATAATATTCGTTATATTTCTGAAGGAAAAAAAACGGACATAAAATTAATACAGAATTAATTCATTGAATTAATTCTAAAATAATTATATTATTTCATGAATTAATTTTGAATTATTTTAGAATTAATTCATGCTGTGTGGGTTCTATAAGTCGAGCTCAAATTATAAGGAAAGGATAGTCTTGCTTAGTTAATCACAATGAGAGAAAGAACTTAGGTATTGATCCAAGTTTATTCAGACTCATGCG